CTGTAAACCGCTTAGAGAGGGCTGAAAGCCCTATGAAGCGGTATATAAGTCTAACTGCTATTGCTATCTAATGGGTCTTTGGGAGGTAATTGGCAGCAGGCGGTCTCTCAAGTACCCAGGTCCAATACCATGAAGGGCAAAGCAAATTCCAGATTTCTTCACGGAGGAAGACATCAAGTGTTTGCTCTCTTACTTCAGCCATCGAAGGGCGTCGCTTGGCTCGCGGGTGGAGACAGCAACAAGCCAACTTTCCTAGTGTTTTGCCCAGTTCCTCTGGACAGGGGCCACACCGCAGGTCCACGTGCTTTTGGTAGAGATGGCTGCCAAGCTGAGCTGCTTTGGTATGACTGGAAGACGTTGTGTCCGTTGACACAACTTCTTGCTCTTCTTCATCATTTATCAGATCCTTCTGAAAGCACAAATGTGGACAAGCAATCATAAAAAAGTCAAGCTGCATGTTACATAATCAATTAGCATAAGATAAGATAAGAATTGCTCACTAAGTACTTGCTGTGTCCACGAGAATCTACTTCCATGGGGCGTCTCCCAGTCAAGAGTTCTAGAAGAACCTGTCAGGGATGAAGAAAGATTATTTTGAACTGTGAGAGAAACAGATGAAATACTACTAAAATGGGTGTTTTGTTCTTTCTTCATATTTCAGTACAGGCAGCCAGGTGACCAGAACACAAAATCTCATTATATAGGAAGAGGTCATCGTAGGATAAAGCTGAAGAGATTTATTACAAAGGGCCTTTTTGTGTCAAGTTTTCCAACCAGACTTTTTTTTTTTTTGTAATAACTCAGGGATCAACTGAATTATTTCCAGCTGACCTTTGCTGCAACTGCTCTGAAAGTCAGATTCCATTTTCCCCAGAATTAAAAGCAAACAATATTAGGTTCTGGCAGGATTTCCCCTCCTGCCTCTTAATAGAATATAGCTTTATTGCGTACAGTTTGAAGCCTTTGAAGGCTCTCAATTCCATCCGCTGGCCAGTGTCGACTGGCGACTACCCGGAGGAGAGCCTTCTCTGTGGCTGCTCCGA